AAGTGCTATCTGGTGAGTAATGACCACTAGACGTGCAGTCGTTTATAATGTATGTTCAGAACACATTCAAAACGTATGAAAGTTTAACGCCGTTTTTTGGGTCTTCAAAGTTTTTTCTTCTAATACCTTTCCGAGCCGTAATACTTTTTATGTAACTGTTTAATCTAACTTTCATGAATGCATAATGTGTCCTACATACACCGCAAAACACTGATAAAACATAAGGGATAAGCTAAAATGATTTGTTTTTGCTCAGTGAGACTTGAAAAATGTTAGCTTATTCCAAATTCCAAAACAAAATAATTGTCTTGACATAATATTATAAACAGATTTCACACGGCTTATTTTTATTCCAACGTCATTCTTAAAATAAGGTAGGAATATTTGTGCCAAGAAGTTTACTAATTAATTTTTAGACGTAAATAGACACATTTGCTTATTTCAAAATTGTGTTATATGGTCATAATTTTAGCTTTGTAGCAATAGTCAATGGTTGTGAAACAAGAGAAATAAACTGAATTTTACATTATTTTTAAGATAATTTAAAAAACGATGTTCCCAAATTTTCAGGAAGAACCGCCCTCTCCACTTTTTGAACAAAACTCTCTGGTCTTATTTGACGAGCAAGTTTCACCAGAATGATTGACAACTGGGAGGACCAATAAAAAACCCTGCTATATACCTTTACGTTCTTATTCGGATCCCGGCAGGACGTTATATGAATATGGTCGAAATGATTCAAATCGTTTGGTGCGAGGTTCATCTTTGACTTTTAGCACTTTGGTAACTTCATTGGTTTTGAGATCGTTGAACACACTTCTGGTGGAGCCCTTGACCCGAAAACCATCCTTTCCGCAGCCGGCCGCTCCCCCCCCCCCCCCCCCCCCCCAGCGAAGGCTTAGCTTATTCACCCGAGAAATATGACTTATTGCTTTGGAGAGTTGTGAAGTTTTGACCCGGTTTGGTTTCAGCCCCTGTTCATCACTCACCAAGATTAGGAAACAAAGACAGTATGAGTTAGAATCAGGTGAATTCTGAATGAAGTGACTTTGAGCGGAACTGGGTTTACACGGGAGGAGAGAAAATGGGCAAAAAAAGAGTCTAATTTGAAGGAGATATTATGCATTATTTTTGACCATAGAAAAAGGTAATGAGACTATTTACGTTGTTATTTTACGATTTAGAATGTGAAATAATATCTTCTTATGAAACAAGTGTGAAGGGTAAAATAAGCTTTCTTTCTTAAATTAGTTTAATGAATTTAGTTTAATTAGTGTAATTAAAAAGTTTAATTTAAGCGTAGATGATAACGTAATTACAACAAAACGGAACGTAAAATGTAAAATGACCATATTTTGAAATAAAATTGTTCTTACAGACGATTGAAAAACGTTTTGGGAGTAAGGATCATAAGACCTACATTCACACAATGTATATTTATAAAACTTCTAAATGAAATTAAATATTAGTCTAATGGTGTTTATTTTGGCCAAAAACACTGCATTGTAGATGGTAGTTAGCAGGAAGCTAGTTAGCAAGTAGCTAGTTAGCCTGCGACAAGTCTTCAAACTTTTCAAAACTCCAGTGGGGATTTTGAACAGAGAATTTTACTTCCTGAAACTTGACGCTCGGTCCCTTTAAAGCTCTTTTATGGCCATATTTTTTTTCTTGAATATCTTTCCTCCCATGGAAACGCAGTGAGCTCTGAGCCACATTTATCAAGGAAAAGCAAAGGTGTCCAAAGTCCTCCATGTTGATGGTATTTGAGATCAGAAGTATGTGAATTCAACTGATCAAAACTCATTTTACAGCGTGCTCTACAGTGCTCCTAGTGGTGGATAAGTGCTACTGACTGCAGCTTTTAAGACAAACGTGGTCTAATGATACAGTAGGAGTGCTACGGTGCCCTCTACTAATACAGACACATTATAGAACCAGGACGACAGATCCTACTCAAACTTTTAGATGGACATTTCATTTGCTGCACCATGGCTTGAACATGCTATAAATGCTATATAAATGTGTCCATCTTGTCTTTCACTCTTATATGAGTAAAGATACTGTATATTTTAAATACAATACATTTTAGACTGAGCCAATCTTTCCTTACGGAGGAATATCAAGTCTAGAACAGCTTAAAAATACCTGGCTTATCAACCATTTAGTCCTGGTTTAGTCAAAGAGTTTCGAACATCCTCCTGGACACTCCTGAACGGTCTATAACAGTAGAAGGCATTGTAAGTGCATAGATTAAAACAAGAATGGGCCTGCATATTTCTTAGCATCTCATTATGACACATGGAGCTGGGGATGGGACGCCAACCACTGCCACTTTTACCACTGAGAAAGGACTTTTTGACAGAGATAGCTGTTATTTGATTTCAACAAAAACCAGGAGGAAATACTCTGAATTCATGTCTGACTTATCCAAATATTGTGTACTCCTGACTTGGCTGGCTCTTCATTGATCTGTGTTTGATTCGCCTTAGGCTATGCAACGCCTCAGCGTGTCGTCTGGACCCATGTTGGCGTCTCACAGAGGGGCAGACTAGACCATGTAACAATAAAAGGGTCAAAACGATTGTCCAAAATTATAATGAGAAGGAAACAAGCAACGAGGGCTGAATTCTAAACCCTTGTTACACGCAGCTCATGTAACCAATGGTCTAAAAACAAAATCAGCGTTTGTCTGAGACCCATAACTCAAGTTATGAGAGGATTTGAGCAACATTTTTAGAAAACTTGCGCAATGGCCCAATGCCACAAACTTATGCTTTAGATCCAAGACAGAGTCTGGATGCAGAATTTTGTACTGTGCCTCTTAGCGGAGGCCTGTCTTTCTAGTTGCCGTCTAAATTGCAACTTTACATTTGGTCGAGTATTCACAGCCAAAAGACAAGGTCGCAAGGCAAGCTAAATGTCCAGTCAAAACAACAGGGGTTTTTGCATAGTGGGAATGAGGTTCCAGATAGACTGCGTATAGATGTACAATTCTAACCCTTTAGCTCAATGAAGCCCAATAGGGAAGTTCTCATGACATTTAGCTCTTATTGACTTGCACTGAAAAGAAAACTCCTCCAGCTCAGCAACTGTTTATGTCCCACTCACAATTTAGTTTTTAAAAATCAATGGTGTAATGCTCTCTGTGATCCTGGAGTTTGTATTGTGATAATGTCTTTGTAAATCCAGATATGAGCCCTAGCAACTGACCAAACAGGAACATACTGTACATTGGCTCCACGTTATTGCAGAAATAGCCAGTTCGCTCTAGCTGTCGCAGGCCTCTTCTGCATTAAGGCTGACACGATGGGTGACGTCAGCGATCGGTCAGTCTACTCCTGATATACAGGTGATATCTTAGATGGAGCTTAAACGACTCCAGGTCTGTTTTTCATGAGGGAACAATGTCATAACATGGGTAAAAGAGATTTTGCATAAAGTGATCTTGCAGTCATACAGGAAACTCCAGTAGGCAATTTCTGAGCGTCCCATCCCCACGGGGAAGCATTCGAATCTGGTCTCTGTCATAAGAATATAATACTGTCCATAACGTATACAAATATATATATATATATCACCAGATTACGTGAAGACACTATAGAAAATATGTGAGATCTTTCATAAAAAATAACTGAAGCGCTTTTTCTATTCACAATATCATGAGAACAATGCTTGACAATAGCTGTATGTCGATTTGACTGAAATGGGGGAATGGGTTAAGGCTTGAGTGTGATCACTGTGAAAGAGCAAACGCCAATGCACTGCAAAAACTACGAGGTTAATCTTAAGAATTAGAAGGCATTCACTGACAACATTTTGCAGAGATATGGTGCGATTAAGCAGAAAATGGCAAAACAAGATTAACTATTGTTTCTGAACAGTGTGCAGACTCCTCTGTTATTTGGCATTGTCTCACAGTACTGAAGAGGTTTAAATTGAATGATTTATATATTACATATGGTGAGTGATGAACAGGGGAAAGACTGTTTTAGCCCAAGCGACATTCAAGACAATATTGTTAGAAGCATAAAGAGAGAAACGCCAGATTGTGCACTTTTTTACAATTTATCTACGGAAAACATTAGGGCTGGGACAATATTTTGGCGGCGCGTTGTTGTGTTGTCATGTGGTTTAGATGAAAATTAATACTTTGATTGGCATAATCCAAGTGACCACATATGGACACATCAGCGAGTTGTATATACAGATAAAATGGTAAAAAGCTACACAACTTTTTCTTTTAAACTATGAACCAGTTTTCTGTGTTCTTAACTCAATTCAATTAAATTAAACCCATGAATAGTGAGCAGTTGATTTAGAAAGATGCCTGTGTTTTGTTTTTTTAGTATGTTTAACACATTGCGACTTAAAATATATATCGAAATATATCCGGCCCATGCATTGCAACAGGCGTATGCCCCAGCCCTAGAAAGCGTTTATATACTTCTGCTTAAAAATGTCAGCCACAGCCAGAGATGTCATTGTTTTGGCCATTGGATTCTGAATATTATCACACCAACTTTTTATTCCTTATGTTAGTTGTTTAGTTCAGATTTAGCATCATCTGTCTTTTAATACATGTTAAAAATAGAAAACACCTTCAAAGTAAATGGCTTCAAACAACCACTAGAAATGAGTGAAGAAAAAGCGTTTGCGTTATCATTCAGAATCCTCGAAATATGAAAAAAAAAAACCATTTTGGCCTGGGTGTGTACACTTATAAGCACAACTGTATAAACGAAGGGAAGCTTTTAAAATGAGGGAACTATATTCACTCATTACAAAAACAAAACTGAAGATTTTTTAAATCCCTTTAGAACCCTTTAAATCTTCAAAAGGCCTTGTATTTGGCTTCATCAAATCCTTTTAAATGAACCGAAGTCTCTGGAGTTTCCCGATTACTTATTACTGATATTGAATTGTGACAACTGTTGCACGTTATCTCTCTCTTGTGTTGAATGCATCTCGGGCCGTTGGATCCGCTTGAGTCGCTTTCAGCGTTAATCGATTGGCCCTTGGAAGATGAGCCGTGTCCAGCCCGGGCTGCTGAGTGCGCAAGAGCAGAAGGGGCAGATGGGCCTGAAGGCGTGCGTCCCGTGCGGCAGCGGTGTCTCGGCCCAGTACCTTGTGGTTTTCTCTGAGCACACGTGACCGCAGGGGACGAAGGCGTGGGTGGGGGCCCCTGCGTCGGCGTACACAGCCGGTTCACAGCCCAGCCACAGAGGCACGTACGGCCCCACGCTGCGGCACAGGGGACACTCTCGGCGCGCGGCGGGCTCCTCGTTGTCCCGCGGCTCGTCTGAATCCCGCTGGCCCCATTCATGACGCCCGTGCACGTGACCGCAGCTGAGGTAGACCCAGGGCTGCCGCTCCTCCAGGCTGAGAGGCAGAGGACACACAGCTTATTTAAAAGAGGATCCTACACTTAATCTGACCTGCATGTTTTAGAATTAACAATTGGAGAAACATGAAAAATATTCAAGATTAAAAGAATTTAAGGCCATAAAGACCTTGATTATATTTGCTGTAATTGGACTGAGTATTAATAACGAGGATGGTCTGCGGTCTCTGTTCTGACATGTTTCTGATGCACACTGCTAAGATAAGATAAGATGTGCTTTATTTATCTCACAGAGGAGAAATTTACATGTCACATTTGGCATGGATAGAGACACTCAGATTGTGCAAAAGGAAATGTGCAAACATGTTAAATGCAGGATATATGTACAATAAAGTGACAATAATTATGTGCAACAAAAGTGACAAGTGTCAATTGGAAACAGTTACAGCTACACATCATTTCTCTAAGTAAAGCTTTTAAACTTAATACATGTTTCAAGTTACACCTATAAGTGAGTGCGTGCGTGTGTGTGCGTGTGTGTGCGTGAGTTGGTGCGTGACTGACCTGTGGCTGCGTGGGAGGCTGGGGAAGGCCAGAGTGCTGAGGCCCACGGGACACTGGGGCCTGGAGGCGTTCAGCTCCTGCCTCAGAGCCTCCAAGTGTCTGAGGGTGGGGGCCCGCATCAGCCCCTCCCCAGTCCTCCACAGCAGTGTTGCCCCACAGAGGTCCACCAGAGAACCGTCCCGCAAAGCACTGCTCTCCCCCTCCGCCTGCGGGACAGACAGGGTTAGCGGGCTGTGTGTCATTCTGAACACTAGATACATTTGTCCGGATCAGCTCACAAATATTCATTCTAACTCATGGAGTACGTTTACAAAGCACTAGTGAAAACCCTGCTTTGTAAACGCCCCTTGTCCAAATAAATAGATCCATGAGCAAGATCCATGTTAATCTGTATCTGTTTGGCGTAACCATTTCTACTGCGTTTAAACTGTATGTAACCAGGATTCTACAGAGAAAAGGCCAGCTCTGCATGCGTTTCATTGTTTTGGTTTTGTTTCATTATGAGAGCCAAAAGCAGGACACGTGGGCCTGTCTGAAAACCAAACGATCAAAGTAACAAGATGAGTGTGTTCACAGTAAAGTGTCAATAAAGTATCTGGACTTCAAAAGGTTATAACTTAAAAACTAAAATTACTATCATAGATTGGAAAAAAGATTTCAAACACAGACGTATCAAAGATATAGTGTGGATAAAATCAAAAAGAAAGATTAACAAATAGCCTCTGATTTGATCATTCTACTGTGACGCCAGTTAGAGAAAATAAAATGTCCTCAGTCTGAAAAAGCGTCAGATGAAATCCCACATGATTAACATGGCTAACGCAACTAGGGATGTAAAAAACTATGAATTTTCATGACCGACCACCGAGCCTCATTAACCGGTTGAAACCGGTTAACCGCGTAGTTTAAAATAGTCCACGTTCTTTGAAATAACAGCCATTTCGAGCCGCGTACTTTTCATAAGTGCAGCTCTGCGTTCTACTGGATCAGAGCCGAGACAGCGGCGCCCAAACCCGCAACAGCTCCGGCACCTTTGCGCACAGAGAACTGCTTTTTTAATCTTCCCATTCTGCTGAGCTGCGGGTTAATACCAAAACTTTCTAGCAGCAAACACGGCTCGTTCACATGGTCAGAGCAGCGAGTGACGAGCCGCGTCTCACAGGTCTTCACAAAAGTTTAAATACAAGTGATGTGTGTGGAGCTGATCCCGAGGACCATAAACACAAACATGTTCCATGTGGTTTGACTGGAGCCGCGTATTTGCGCGAATCCTTTGGGCTCCGTGACACAGAGGAGCGCGACAGACCGGTATGTGTGTGTGTATGTATGTGTGTATGTATGTGTGTGTGTATGTGTGTGTGTATGTATGTGTGTGTGTATGTATATGTGTGTGTGTGTAAATGTAAGCTCCAATGTAGTTCTGACCCGCGCCAGTGTGCAACTTTGACGGTAACAGAGGGGAGAGATGATGCGTGTGGATGTTACGTATGGAGAGATGGAGAGGGGGAAAGTGTGTGTGTGTGTGTGTGTGTGTGTGTGCGCGTGCATATGTGGCTCGTGCGGCGTGAGAGTCGTCCCGGAGTTTATAATACATGGGCGCACACAGCTAGATACAGACCCGCTCGTCACACCGTGCAAATAGGGCTTAAAATAGCGTTATTAAGAGACCTCCCCTCTCCCCTTTTTCTCTTTTTTAACCGACAGCTTTGACCGGTTAACGCTGTGACGGTCAACCACCGGTTAACCGGTCGCCGATTTACATCCCTAAACGCAACATCAGTAAATCACTGGATTTAAAAAGTAATTGTCAAAAAAAAAAAAAAAAAAAATTAAATGACCCCTGTTAAATGTGTAACGGATGTGATGGTTTCCGTCCATTTTCTCTAACAATAAAACAAAACAAAAAATCTGGTCTGGATTCACATTTAATTGGTTGACTCTATGAAAGTATCACTTTGTTTCATGTGTAAAAAAAAAATAGAATCTTTTAATCACATGTGGATCTGAAAATACGTAACAAACTTCCGCTAAGCTCATTCCGTCAAATCATCACGTCCGTTACATAAAATAAACTGGTCCGCTATAGGAAACTTGTCTAATGTATAAAAAAAGTTATGTTCTAGCAACTTCTGAAGGACAGAGGAGGTATTCGGATACATGAAAAACATAAAATATCTTCGGATTATTAAAATCAAATTTTTGGCCTTTTTTGTCACACTTTTGTGCCCTTTAGTGTGAACAAGCCCTGATAAGTGATTACATTTGCCAAAGGTGATAACACGGTATCGATGATGGCTGTTGTCATACTGAGACCCCAGTTCCTCACCAGTTTCCCTCTGCTCGGTCCGGAGCGCGTCTCCCGCAGCGCGTACACGTCTCCGCACACAGAGATCTCCCGCCACAGCCCCTGCTTCGGTTCGTCTGGAAACCCCTCGGGATGCATCACCAGGACCCCGTTTGTGGTCAGTCCGTCCATGTGCCCGTCCGGGTTCTTCCATTTGGTGGCTTTTTCCTGCACACAAGAGTTACAGACTTGAAAGAATTGCACAAAACTACTATATTTTAGTGGTAGGAAAAACCCGGAGTACCCAGAGAAAACCGGAGCAGACACAGGGAGAACATGCAAACGCCACACAGAAAGGCCTGGAGGTGGAACTGAAATTTGGTTTTGAAACGTGGCCACACTGAAAACCTCTTTAGGCTTAATGAAACGATCAGGTTAGCACGGTCCATCTATGCTCTGAACACAACTCGGTGGCATTGAAGCGATCTGCTCACCCCTAAGAAGATGTTTTTGGAGGAGTCAAAGCCAGCGGCGTAGATGCGTGCGGTGTACGGCGGACTGCGTTCACACACGACTCTGCAGGCGAAGCGCGAGATGGTGCTCGGGGCGATGGACGGGTCCTCGCTCTCCTTCCCTCCTCCTGAAGTGTCAGTCACCACGAAGTCTATGGGGCTTTCTGTGGAGCGGCCGATCTGTGGGAGGAGACAGGAGCATAGGCGGAGTACAGTGGGTTGTAAAAGATCGATCGCAAACGTGGTCATCATTCCAAGACCGAGACCACAAGCAAGTAACAACTGTGAAATGAAAGCAAAATGGCAGGATTCTGTTTTTAAAATAATACACAAAAAGATAAGTCAGGGGTCTCCAATCTGTAGCTCGGGAGACACCAGTTAGCTCGCCACCCTCTTCCAGGTAGCTCAAAAAGGATTTAGAAATTAACAAATCAAATAATATACTCAATATTTCAGATTGTATTATTCATCATTATTGTAAATGCACTGACTTTGTGCACTAGAAACAAATGTGCTATGGTAAATAATGTCTGTACCCGATATCAGGCTTGTTCACACCAATATATCACCAATTTTCCGCCTGGACTTTGTGCCATTTCTAAACATGAATAGGTTTTGTATGAAGACTCTATTAGTATTAGATAGCAATATGGCCTACGTGCAGGACTGTACAAGGACTCTACAAGGACTCCATGTTATGACTATGATGTGACTGTCTCTTTGTGACACGTATGTCTTTCGATGTGTGACGTGACAATGACTATATAAACTGTGTACTGCCTTTATTCTGTCTGAGGAAAAGAAACAGAGTAAACCAGTGGAACTTGAGAGAAACTTAAATAAACTTCCAGAGTTTGGCACACCACGATCCGTCTCTGTCTGCCTTAAATCCTAACAGATTTGGTGGAGAATGCGCGGCTCAGTGTGTGCCATTCTCTGGATTGTTTTGAGGGAGTTTTGCTCTGTTTCTTTTCCTCTGCGTGAGAGATCGGCATGCTGTGTCTGGGAGCGGGGATTCCAGCAGGCTGGAAGAGCTGTTCCTGGATGCTTCTTGTCGCTTCTGTCACTTTTGTTTTTTAAATTGAAGATTCCGACGCGGAAAAGAGTTGGCAGACCTCTCGGACAGTCCTTGGAACCGGTTTGACAAGAATAAGGTAAGCAGACACCTTTTTATATGTAAAGTCTGCATAATTGGATATTAGCTAAATTTTGGTCTGTTTTTTGGGGTCTGTCAAACTCTCTAAATTGTATTTTGAAGAAGTCTCGGGGTTAAAGTCCCTTTGAGCCTCGGGGTTAAAGTCCCTTTGAGAAAGTCTCGGGGTTAAAGTCCCTTTGAGCCTCGGGGTTAAAGTCCCTTTGAGAAAGTCTCGGGGTTAAAGTCCCTTTGAGCCTCGGGGTTAAAGTCCCTTTGAGAAAGTCTCGGGGGTTAAAGTCCCTTTGAGCCTGGGGGTTAAAGTCCCTTTGAGAAAGTCTCGGGGTTAAAGTCCCTTTGAGAAAAGCCTCGGGGTTAAAGTCCCTTTGAGAAGAAGCTTCAGGGTTAAAGTCCCTTTGAGAGAAACCATGGTGTAAACAGAAAAGCAATTTATAAAAAGGGAAACGTGTTAAGGAGGCCTTTGTTACAAAAGCTTTGAAATTGACGAATTTCAAGCTGATAAATGACAAAAGTACATAAGCAACAATATTTCAGTGATCACGGTTTAAATTACATACAGAAAAAGGGAGTTTTTGTTTTTGGAGTGAACAGAGTTCACCGGAGAATGCAGAGTTTTATCTAAAGTTGAGCTATGAGAGCTTTCGTGAGTTATTTACATTTTTTGCCGAGTTTTATCTACAGTTGAGCTATGAGAGGGCTGTATCCAACAGTTGTTTTTTGTTTTTTAAAAAGAGATTTTAAGTTTAAATTAGTTTGCTACCTCGATAAAATAGAAGCGTAAACGTTAAAGACAAGAGTGCCTTTTGTTACTAGTGTGGAAAGTGATCACTTCTAGATTTGGATGACAAAAGTATAAAGAACAACATCAGTTATATTCGCTTAACAAAGTAATCTTGAAAGTTATTCTTCTGTATCTTTTTGCCTGTGTGTGTGCGTCGCTCTATCTGCTGCCGTTGTCAGGGAAACGGCCCCCTCCTTCGCTGCTCTGGCTCTGAATCTGAAGCAAAGCTACTGCTTTAGGAATTTGGCTTTTCATAGTAGTTATTCCGTTAAATTTGCTAAATTTGCCATTTGAACATTGTGTTAGACACAGTTAAACGTTTTTAAACACCATTAGGGAATAGAAGTTTTGAATTAGTATGTTTTTGAAACCCAAAGATTAGTACAAAAAGCTTTGCTTTTCTTTTTAAATCTGCTGCTTATTTTGTGAGTCCATTATTGTATCTCTGATATATTTCATAGCTGTTTGTGAGAATTTTTTCATGTATTTTTTATTTTAGTTACAAAAGCCGTTTTTCAAACATTTAAATTAGAATCTGTTAAAAGTGATTAATGATTGTAGACTTCGTCTAAAAAAGAAAGAGGGAATTAGGCTGTAAAAGTATTATATTATTAAGTTAAACTACCCAATTCACCCAATTCACATTCAAGTGGTGACTTTTGTTTTTGTTTTGACTATGCACCTGACCTTCCTCCTGCTGCAGATGCACGCAGCACAGGAGCCTGGTCTAAAATGTGCTCCAATTCATACTGACTTCATTTGAAAAATGCTGCAATTATTTTAAATTAGTAGAATAGATGCTGAGATAAATAAGTGTAAAAGGGAAAGTCCATAAAGTGAAACCCAAGATGTTCAAGATTAAAAACATCACACAGTACAAAAGTACATAATACATATTTTAAAGTTTGAAGGTTTAAGAGATTTGAGTCTTGTTTTTTTATATTGAGAGTTTCTGGTTTTAAAAATGTCATCATTAGTAAGATAATAAGTAATCTCAAAATTGTTTTGACTTCAGAGAGAAAAACCATCTCATTCACATACTGATACTGTATCTGTTGTTTTTAAATTGGCCGTCTCAAGGATTGTTTTTCAGACTCTGCCTCACTGTACGAGAGGTCACTGCTGGACACTGGACAGCGCAAAGCCCACCCAGCCACAGGTCACAGATCAAAGAGCAAAGGAAAATGCCACCTCCTTGCCCCTCCCCACGCCACTGCAGAACTGAGTGGGTGTGAGAGAGACCGGGGCCATGAAAGAGAGGTATCTGGAGACGTGATGGGTGGAGCGTCAGGTAGAGACCTAGAGGGAGTTGAAAGTGTGTCTACGTGGTTTACATCACCACAGTGTGACCTTTGAGACCTACAGGTGGTTCGAGGAGTCTGGAGAGACAACCCCAAAATTCATATACACACACACACATACACATTCATACACTCACACATTCACATTTACATATAGATACATGAAAAAGCAGAACATGAGGAAAAAGCATTTTAAAAGTTTACTCCAATGTAAACACATATTTTTAATTGTCTATCACTTGAATCTTTATTTGAATCAGTATTTTTTGAGACCAGAAATGTTCATTTGAATTCTATATTGTCATGGACTTAATTGACGTCTGTCCTGACACTTTTGATTTGTTGATTTTGTACTGTGTGAAGTAATTACATTGATGAGAATTAGATCTGATAAAAACACAAATTAGAGAAGTAAACTGCGCTTGCTTTTGTCTAAGGGACATTAGCAACAGCATGAATAGAAATTGTCTTTAAAGTAGAATCAAAGTGATTTAACCATAGAGAGTAACTATTGCATAACAAGCTGTGTACAGGAACTGAGACACTGCACCATTGACCAGAAGTGCATCGCAAATGACCTGATGTGCTTCAAGTGAAAAGACTGTATCTGGAGATCTGATGTGCATCTGGAGACCAGAACCAGAACCATGGCTTGGACCCTACTGATGTCCAAGATGACATCTCTCGAAATATGACCTGACCTGATGACGACTGAAACTCACCCTCAGGGGACCTGAGGACCCTGAGGATCTGAGGGCCTGAGAGAGAAAACTGGGGAGTGATGTTTATATTATTGAAATCATACATTGATGAGTGCTAAATGAGAGAGATACTCATGATTCTTTCTTTTGTTTTTGTTTGTCCCTAGCTTCTGGACATCTGATGATCTATTGGACACAGACATTTGCAGAACAAGAACCAGCCAATGAAAACGTCTATTGCCGATGCTCTTGCTACAACCAGAACCTGTGACAAATGCAATATACATGTTAAGTATTCAGACATCTGACAGACAAAAACTTTGAAAATGATAAAGTATGAGTATTGTAGCGTTTTAGTAGATGTTAAATAGTAGTAAAAGAGTAGAATTTGACTTCCTTTGTTGTTCATAAACATATTTCCACGTAAGAGTTAAAATAGTACCCTACAATGTTATCCTTTTGATAGATCAGCTATAATATTAGAATCAGAGTTATGTTACAGCCATTAAAAGTGACAGAAGTCACAAATTAGAAATATGCCTTTGCTCAAGCTGCAGCCGAGCTTTGGAGTTAAAAAATAGAGGAAATATAGAATTAGATAAATGCATCAACCATAGATGCTTTCAAAAATAGAGATTATTTCTAGCCAGTGCTAATATCAAATGGTAAAGGGACCATTTCACAAACCTTTGCTTCAAAAGTAGATAAAGTTCATATGAGTGTAGCCTAGATTAATGCCTAGATCAATGAGATAGATTAGAACCAACAGAGATTCAAAAGCATTTAAAAGCATTTTGATGTATTTGGGTATAGCACAAAAACAGTATAGTAGATATTTAGATATTGAGAAGTTTCCAGCACAAACACCATTGTATAACTGACCCCAACCCCAAACCTGCTAAAATAGATTAGCTACTATTAGGATAATACTAATTTGATTAATGATGTACATTCATCCCAAACTGCCTGACAATAATATCTTTAGATAATAAAAAGTAATAAATCACTGACCACTATAGAAGTGTAAATGTTGACCGTTTGCCTTACTGTGTTCACAGTTTTATTCCTGAGAATGAGAGTAGACATGGAGCAAAATCCCACTGATAATAAGCCACTGATAATTAGAGTATAATACCACAGAGAGATTTATTAGATTAAAATGTATGTTTAAGAATATGGCTCAATAGAAGCAAATATGCAAACATATTTGTGAATAGATTAGAATAGTTTAAACTATAGTGAATAGAGAGTAAAGTACACAGTATAAGATTAAAAAGTGAAAATAATACAGTGAAATAAGTGAAGTGTAGTGTAAACAATTGTCATTAGAATAAAAGTATAGAGTAATAAAAGTGAAATTAGCTTCAAAATTGAGACTCAGCTCGTTTTTGTCTGTGTTTTGACTGAATCTGCTGAGTTCTTGTGTGTCCAATAGTTTTTGTTTGTTTTTATTTTTGTTTGTTTTTATTTTTGATTTGTTTGTTTGTTTTTGTTTGTTTGTTTTTTTCCCAGGATAGAGGATAAAATCCACTGATATTGATTTGATGATTATGAGTTTAATGCATACATTTTCTTTGTTTTTAATAATTTTTTGAAGTTTTTTTTTGGAATTTTTTTTTTTTCTTTTTCCATTTTATTGATTGATCGATTTGAGTGATCACATGTGATTATGTGATCAAAGGGGAGGGTATTAGTATTAGATAGCAATATGGCCTACGTGCAGGACTGTACAAGGACTCTACAAGGACTCCATGTTATGACTATGATTTGACTGTCTCTTTGTGACACGTATGTCTTTCGATGTGTGACGTGACAATGACTATATAAACTGTGTACTGCCTTTATTCTGTCTGAGAGAAAGAAACAGAGTAAAACAGTGGAACTTGAGAGAAACTTAAATAAACTTCCAGAGTTTGGCACACCACGATCCGTCTCTGTCTGCTAAATCCTAACAACTCTTTATCCATCCATCCATCCATTTTCTTCCCCTTAATCCATTTCTGGGTCGGGGGGGTGGCAGTCAGAGCTGCACCCAGTCCACAGAGCACCAGCCCCTCACTGATCCTCCTGCAGGTGGTGAGTCCACAGGAGCTGAGATCTTTCAGTGGGGGCTTCAGGCAAAGTGGGGTTAAGTGTCTTGCCCAAGGACACAACGACAGCAGTCATCAGTGGGAGTCGTGAAGTAGGTCTTATGGTGGGCTCGAACCCACGACCTTCAGGTCCAAAGGCCAATGCTCTACCAACTGAGCTACTGTCGCCCATATAAAGACTCTTTATATTTATGGGAAATGTACTGATTGAAGGTCAGGACAATTTCTGACTCCAGCAGGTTCTCTTCCAAGACTGCCCTGTATTTGTCTCCATACAAATCTGGTGTCTTGGTAAATTGGTAAATTGGTAAAACTTCAAACTTTATCCTTGACCTCTCTGGGGCTTTCTTGAATTTCATTATGCCCTTTAGTTACCAATCCAAATGAAAATCTTTATGTTTGTGGACAAACATAAAAAAGTGAAAAGACTCATGAAAAAAGTGCAACAGTTTAAGTTGTATAAACACTTTTGCAAGCCTCTGTAGCAATTATTGTGACCGGTTTACCACAGGAGAAATCTCCACAAAAAGTAATTACACTTGTAAAGCTGAGCTGAAACGCTGGACTAGACATTTTGAGAAGTAGAGGGTTTGTGTTGACACTCAGTGACGCAGGTTTATGACGTGATAAAAGTCCAGAATGACTGAGAAAGTACCTGGAACATGTCTGTGTTGTTGTCATGGCAATACTCCACCACCACAGTCTGGTTTCTGGACAGTGTGAAGGAGATGCTGTGCTGCCCCCTGCTGTGCACCGCCTGAAACAACGACAACAGTTCAATCATACCTATTACATAATAATAATAATAATAATGATAATAATAATTATTATTATTATTATAAACAATTAAAAACAGGTTGTTATACGGTTTTTAAACATGGTGAACCAGCTTTAGAGTAAACCATAAGAGACTTAATTTTCCCAATATGGAAATTTCATTAGTGAAAAAAGACTTTATACTATACACTTTGTTGTAACGTTTTGAAATCTTTTAAATACATAAAAATCTTTCAAAATCTGTTCACGTTTTTGATATATTGTGATTTTAACTCTATCAATCCTTTACAAAAATGAACGTCTCGTTTCTATATTAGAACTAAGATGTCAATTACTATCGGTTTTCCTTTTGACAAGCCCAGGACAGTGAGCTTTGACTTTTTGACAAATAGTTTTGAGGATTATTAAAACAAACAAACAACTTTTGTTGGCTTGAGGTACAAATGGTATTCCATCTTTATCGATTAAACAAACTGTTCCACGTAATCGGTTTGTTTATATTAAGCTGTTAATCTTCACAGCCCTAAAAATAATAAACATAAAGCTGAACAGAACTGCTATTGTTGTGACGTTAAGAATACCATAGGGTTAAATGTTGAACTTAATTCTGAACCTTTTCTGTTTCACATACAGTAATGAGCAGTTCATATTTTTTCTTTGCCGTTTGTCTTTTACCACTGGCCGATGAAATCATGAATAAATAAACATTTGGGAGCACAATACCATGGGTTTGAACTTAAATGTTCTTGTCTACTGTCAGAAAAAGGCATTGTTCCCCTTTCCAGTGTGTCACCACCAGTCTCTGCACTCTGAACAATAGCACATAGAAAAAGAGACAATAGAGACATTTCAGTGCACAGGTTTTTAGTCGCTCTTCCTTTGGAGCCGACGTGAAAAGCAGGAAAGCAAAAGCAGGAAGTGGGCGCACACAAACATCCCCTTAGCAACAGTTTACGCGCACAAAAACAATAATAGTATGATATTTTTGACATGCTGCTGATTGAGATTAGTAGTGTGGCTTCTTATCGTAAAAATCTAAAAATATTTCACAGACTGCGTGGAAATGGACAAAGTGTAAGTCTGATGACAAGAGTGGCCGGAGCTGCATTTATACTGATGCTTTACACGGAGACGCTGCGGCAATACAGATTCAGATTCAGATTCATTTTTGTATGGCATAACAGAAGGGTGGGTTTGTTCAGTTCCTGTTTTTCCATAAATAATCAACTTTGTTTGAACAGAAAGAGTCTTGAAAAAGTAGTGTTGAAATCTTTGGGAAAATGTTATGTTTTTTGTGGGGCGTCGTACCTTGCTGTCCTGCGGAGTGTTGAGGATGTGCACCGTGCTGGGCTTGACTCCGTTGGCTTTGGCTCTGCGGTAAAGAGCAAAGCGGCTCTTTCTGCGGCCGCGGTCTCCACACGGCAGCGAGCCATTGTACCTGCAGCCACAGGAAACACATCAAAGATTACGCATGATTTTTGCTTGTTTGGAGACTATTTACTTTGTGATTTCATGTTTTAGATGGCGAATCATTATCTTCAAGTAGGAAGGCTAAACCAGGCCTTCCGTCTGTAACTCCCCATGCTGCCACCAGATTACTAACTCACCACTGTTCCATTCATTGATTAGTTGTGATTAAATTATTAAATTATTAATCACAGTACATTAAAGAAGAAAAATAGCTGTGGGAGTGAGCATGGTCTATCCAGTGCATGCCTTCACAAGTCTCACTCTCTTCATCTTCACAATTTGACAGTAAGTAACAAACGTTCACCTCAAAGCTGCAGTACATCAAGTTTTTTTGATTTTAATAAACATAATATTTGGTTTTCTTTCTTGTTTAAGTAACATGTTGTTATCATTTTGGAACACCTTGTATATTCTTTCCATACTGAGAGTTGATTGGCTGGGTGAGGGCTGGTACTCGCTTTTTCACTAAAAGAGCACATCATAAGGTCTAGTTACATACATTTTGTGGTTTCAAAGTTAAGTTTGATTCATTTGTCACAGCGCTACCTAATCTAAATCTAATGTAGCTGAAATGAATGTCTTTTTATATGCATGATTAGCTGGACACCAAACAAACCAAGTCTATGTCAAAAGACTCACTGTTATGATATTTATCAGTTTATTTGAATGGGACGCTGCACTTTCAACAGGTGTCCATGTAAATACACCAGGCTAGTGTCCATCTGTAGCTCCAGGGCAGGTCGACATAAGTAATTAAGTAATCTAAATGTATACGTATAAGTTCACCCAAAGCGCTTTACAATTGTTGAGAATAATATGTTGTTGTTAGATGTTACAGACATCAACAAGCAAACCGTTTTTTAAAGACTCCAGCTAGTGCCCAGAGTCAGGACTAAACATGGAGAGGCTGCTTTTCAGATTCATGCTGCTAAAATCTGGAACAATCTTCCTGAAAATGTGAAACAGGCCTCCTCTCTGACAATGTATAGATCCAGGTTAAAAACAGTTCTGTTTAGCTGTGCATACAACTGAGGGACATTATATTTTTAGCTTTCTTTTTAATGTACTGTGATTATTTATGATTTCAATGCCATCTCATTTTGTTCAACATTTTTGAGTTGCCTTGTTTATGAATTGTGCAATACAAATAAACTTGCCTTGCCACATACATTGGAAAGCACAGGACATTACAAACATGAGACAGACAATAACAAGGATCCGTCCGTCCGTTTTCCTCCGCTTCATCCGTTGCCGGGTCGCGGGGGCAGCAGTCTAAGCAGAGACGCCCAGACTTCCCTATCCACACACACCTCCTCCAGCTCGTCCGGGGGGACCCCAAGGCGTTCCCAGGCCAGTTGAGAGACATAGTCCCTCCAGCGTGTCCTAGGTCTTCCCCGGGGCCTCCTCCCAGTGGGACGTGCCCGGAACACCTCCCCAGGGAGGCGTCCAGGAGGCATCCGGAACAGATGCCCAAGCCACCTCAACTGGTTCCTCTCGACGTGGAGTAGCAGCGGCTCTACTCCGAGCTCCTCCCGTGTGACCGAGCTCCTCACTCTATCTCTAAGGGAGCGCCCAGCCACTCTGCAGAGGAAGCTCATTTCGACCGCTTGTATCCGCGATCTTGTTCTTTCGGTCATTACCCACAGCTCATGACCATAGGTGAGGGAGGGAACAAAGATTGACCGGTAAATCAAGAGCTTTACCTTTCGGCTCAGCTCCCTCTTCACCACGACGGTCCGATACAGCGACTGCATCACTGCGCACGCTGCACCGATCCGCCTGTCAATCTCACGCTCCATCCTTCCCTCACTCGTGAACAAGACCCCGAGATACTTGAACTCCTCCACTTGAGGAAGGACCTCTCCACCCACCTGAAGAGAGCAAGGCACCTTTTTCCGGTCGAGCACCATGGCCTCAGATTTGGAGGTGCTGATTCTCATCCCAGCCGCTTCACACTCGGCTGCAAACCGTCCCAGTGCATGTTGTAGGTCCTGGTTTGTTGGAGCCAACAGGACAACATCGTCCGCAAACAGCAGAGATGACCCGGAGGGGGTCCGAACCGGAACATGCACCGGGAACAGGTCTGACTTATTGCCAGCAATGTGAACACAGCTCTGGCTCCGGTCATACAGGGACCGAACGGCCCTCAGCAGAGGACCCCAGACCCTGTACTCCCGGAGAACCCCCCAAAGAACACCCCGGGGAACACGGTCGAACGCCTTCTCCAAATCCACAAAGCACATGTGGACAGGTTGGGCGAACTCCCATGAACCCTCGAGTATCCGATGGAGAGTATAGAGCTGGTCCAGTGTTCCGCGGCCGGGACGAAAACCACACTGCTCCTCCTGAATCCGAGATTCGACCATCGGCCGTAGCCTCCTCTCCAGTACCTTGGAGTAAACCTTGCCAGGGAGGCTGAGGAGTGTGATCCCACGATAATTGGAACACACCCTCCGGTCCCCCTTCTTGTAGAGAGGGACCACCACCCCGGTCTGCCACTCCATTGGCACCGCCCCTGATCGCCACGCGATGTTGCAGAGACGTGTCAGCCAAGACAGTCCCACAACATCCAGAGACTTTAGATAGTCGGGGCGGATCTCATCCACTCCCGGCGCCTTGCCACCATGGAGGCTGCCAACCACCTTGGTGACCTCTGCCAGGGAGATGTAAGTATCCGCCCCAACATCCTCAGCCTCCGGGGCGGAGGACGTGACGGGGGGGGTTGAGGAGAACCTCGAGGTATTCCTTCCACCGCCCAACAATATCCCCAGTCGAGGTCAGCAGCTCTCCACCCCCACCATAAACAGTGTTGGCAAAGCACTGCTTCCCCCTCCTGAGGCGCCGGACGGTTTGCCAGAATCTCTTCGAGGCCGACCGATAGTCCTGCTCCATGGACTCTCCGAACTCCTCCCAGACCCGGGTTTTTGCCTCTGCAACAGCCCGGGCCGCAGCACGCTTGGCCTGCCGGTACTGGACAGCTGCCTCAGGAGTCCCGCGAACCATCATGGCTCGATAGGACTCCTTCTTCAGCCTCCTCCGCCGGGACCTGGGAGAAGCTCTCCCGGAGGTGCGAGTTGAAAATCCGTCTGACAGGGGGCTCAGCGAGACGTTCCCAGCAGACCCTCACTATACGCTTGGGTCCGCCAGGTCTGACCGGCTTCTTCCCCTGCCAGCGGATCAAACTCACAACCAGGTGATGATCGGTTAACAGCTCCGCCCCTCTCTTTACCAGAGTGTCCGAGACACGCGGTCGAAGGTCAGATGATACAAGAAAATAACAAGGATATCACCATAAATGCACAAATTCTGTTCAAGTTTCAACATTTAGAAGGCAAGAAACTATTTTTGAATATCTCGTTTCACAATGATGATCAGTTGGCTTTTATTTGCTCAGATTAAAGTGTGTATTCTTTGTGTGTATTCTCTGCTGCTGACAGGACAAAGACAACACATCGGCCTTGGTACTGGGCCATGAGTCTGCGTAAAAATAGGACTTTTTCTACTTCAAACAGGAAATATAATCTCCTAAAATACTGCAGACATGCCCCTTTATAAAGTAATAGCGTTAACAGCAGCAGTTGGATGTGGCTCCATGTAATGTAATAACTCCAGCGGTCAGGAGCGATGGACTTTCCAAATGAATGGTGGACAATATGTACAACAAATGCATTTAGCAACAATGAGCTATTTTAAAAGCAATCAGCGTTGCCTCTGTGATATACAAAACTAAACACCAGATTTTCAAGCAAGTTCGTCAGCAAACAAAGTGGACATAAAATAATATTATTACTCAATTTTGAATGGGAAAAATAAAACAACTGACCTTAAGTAAAAGTTTATTGTCCAGGGACACCAACGCGTTTCAACAGATTAGGTCTTTATCAGGGCAGACAGCAAACGGCTAGTTTTACTTAAAAGTCAGCTTTTCCTGCGACCTTCTTTTTTTTTTTTGCATTTGGAGCCTGAAGAGCATCTGACACGTAAACCCAATCCACAGCAGCTCTCCATCTTACCTAATGTTCAGTTGAATTAATATGTTGCCATGTGCTAAAGGCCAGTGCGCAACAATCTGCCTCCTGCAGCCCATGACTGATGTGTGACAAAGTGGGGGCCTGTGTCTGGTCCATAGACTGTATATATTAACGGACGTAGTCATGCCTATCTCCGCTGTTCTAACTAATGGGTCAAAAATTGGGCTTTCATGGAGAGATTCAAAATGGCCGCGGGGGCTGGAAAATGTGAAAAAACACATCTGCGCATGCGTCAGCTGCACGAGCCCCATTCATTTAAACAAGTGACTTAAAAAATTCACAGCAACTAAACTAAAGTGGTCAAATAATTCACCCCCCTCAGCATTGACACACATGTGGAACGGAGCTTTGGGCCAAGAGCCAACTTTTGGACCATCCTGTAAAGACGTTTTCGAGAGGTAAGAAGATGCTATATGTTAGCATTGGCTAATTCTTAATCCGGGTCCACCCCAATCGGACGGGGTGGTATTGCAAGCATGTCAGTGCACGTCATTTTGGCCACTTTTGAGCCGGGACCCGCCCACACTGGTCTGGTCTCGCTGGAACTGAAGTCCAAAGCAGCTTGAGCCGGAGCAACTAATGTGAAAGTGGATCAATTGTTTTGAATGTTTTTTATTTGGTAATCTCTGCCTATTCCGTCATGAACAGTCCTACATACTGTATATCTTGTCTTGGTTGTTTTCTAGGCTGACCATTGAGGATACCAAGGATGAGTTCAACCCATGCCTCGTTTGGCATGTTTTATAATTAGACCCTATTGTCTAAACTCTAAACTACTTTAACCAGCACCTTTGTTCTTCTCAAACAGTCTTACTTGGTAGCCCTCATTCAGTCAGTCTTATGTTGAAAAAAAACGTTAAGCTGTTTTAGGCTTCAATGAGCTGTGTGAATATGGGGCCCCAGTCCCAGGTCAGACTGTATATAGATGGACAATGCT